CACATTTTGGCTATTTAATTCAGGCAATGGTGAAAAAAAATTGGCAAAATACTTGGGGAAAAAACTCGAAAAACCGTATTCGGTATTCGGCCCAGTGATTCATTTTGTTCCGTTTTGGGCTTCGGCCAAGAATTTTCATTTCGGTGCATCCTAGTGTTGTCACGGTACCAAAATTTCAGTATTCGGTACCAATATCAGTGAAAATCCACGGTTCTCGGTACCAATTTCGGTACCAAAGCAAAACACAAAAACATGCTAATTGAACAACATTTTTATTAATAACGTTAAACAAAAATTAAATGTACAAAACCAATGCCATTCTTTATATTTATTTAAAATTGTTTCAAGTTTTTCCACAAGTAATAAAAGTATGAAAAAAAGTAAACAAGTTTCACCCAAAAGTTATAGTCATAGTTCTTGTTACGTATCCGGTCCATGAACTTCCGTGTGCTAGCCATCAGAGGTCACCCTTTCCATTTTCATTGATTCTCGCACTACACACTGTTGCACATCACTCCGGACTACATATCCCATCATTCATTGCACTGATTGCACACAGCCCTGATTGCACACAGCACTGATTGCACACAGCTGTTTCATATCACTCATTCACTATTTAACACCCAATCTCACTCCGTTCTGGCTGCCGAGTATTGTATGCGCTTATCGCCAGCAGTGATAGCTACTTTACAGAGCCCTCGTTATCGACAACACTAGTGCATCCCTAGACAACACCATTTAAGGTCTGCAGGCCACCTAGAAATGATTCTGTATAAGAAATCACAGAGCTCTGAGGTCGCATGACAAAAACATTATGTAGCGGAAGCATAATGAAAATGCCGATAATCTAATGACCAAAATCAAATAGTGCCATCAGCATTAAGTTAGTGCGTATTGGATATGGGAAGCCCTGCTGTTAAAACCTGGAGCCATTCCATGAGAAACACTGAGATGCTGGTGGATTTTTTTAAGCTAACGTCTGTCACCTGGAAGCAGCCAGCATTATGCTCCTCTCTTGGCTATTTCTGGGGTTGAATTTATCTTGAATACCAGCTATCATCCATCTACATTAATACCACAAATCAGATTACCTCCTCTAAAACTAACAATGACCTCAGTGCTTTACTCCATCCAGGGACGATGGTTATGGGCCGCCGCAGCGAGTGGAAGACTAAACAAGATCGAGTGGAGATGGAGGAGAAGGGAAAAAGACGAGGAGAGCAGGACAAAATGGGAAAGCTTTATAGAAAAAAGATGAGCACTGCGGAAATTTGCAGCCGGAGAGATTGAGGAAGAGGGCGCGAGGCAAGGATCAGAGTACAAATGAGCTGACTTACTTGCGACCTCCAAAGAGGCATTACGGCTGACGGCCTCGCCCAAGTAATTCCTTGCTACGCACACGTACACCCCTTCGTCAGGCTTGCTGCGCCTTCCGTGAACGATTCGGAGGAAGAAGAGGGAACCGCTGGGGAGGAGCATGCGGTGGGAGCGTGGATCCTCACGGTCCGTTTCGACACGCTCGCCATCTTTGTACCACTCCACCATAGGGGTCGGCCGACCTTCGGCCTTGCAGTTCAAAGTGGCAGGCTCGCCCTTGGAAACAATGAGGTCTGAGGGGTGTTCGACAATCCGTGGAGCGGCATCCTCCAGCCTCGGTCGAGATCCTATAAGAGAGAGAATCGGTGGTTATTATTTGCATTACATGCAATTGAGAGAATTTGGTATACAAACAATAACACTAACACAGTGTCTTAACCAGATGAGACTCAATTCAACAAGCAATACAAGTACAGTTGTGAATCTCTGACAGCGAACTGATTTGATTCATGATTCACTGCTTTTCAATTTAAAAGTTGCATATATATTACACAATTCAATTCGATTTTCTTAACAACAATTTCATTCTGTAGTTTTTCAAATTCATATTTATTTATACGATTCTTTATATACTTTCCTTAAAGGAGTAGTTCACTTCCAGAATTAAAATTCTGTCATCATTTACTCACCCTCCACTTGTTCCAAACCGAACAGCTGATGGGCACCATTGACTTCCATAGTAGGAAAAAAAATACTATGGAAGTCAATGGTGTCCGGATACTAACATTTTTCAAAATATCTTCTTTTGTGTTCAACAGAAGAAAGAAACTCATACAGGTTTGGAACAAGTGGAGGGTGAGTAAATGATGACAGAACTACTCCTTTAATGTAATGTGGGCAAGAAAAATAAGTAAGAATAAGTTTACTGCACCAAAAGTAACTTTGGACAGAGAAGAGAATGGGAGCTTTTCTGCCATTAATTTACATTTGTAAAACTATTTCATAATGTACATATGCATTAACATAACATTTTAAATGATATAAATATTACATGTTATTTTAACAAATCATAATCATTTTTTTAATTACCGACCAACCTAAAAAAAAGAATAATTTAAGTCATATTTCAATATTTATATTCATATTTATAAAGTAACATGACCAACGGGAAATCTCACTGAAAGTAGACATTACTTGTCATCAGAAACTTCACACATGGTGTTCAAAATCTATATAAATAAAGAATCTGATGACTACTAATTAGCCAAAAACTTTAATTTATTCCAAGCAAAGAGCAAAAATTCTCACTTTACACCAAAAACAGCTCTTAATTCCAGTTGTAGCTTAGCCAATAAGATGCACAGACTTGGATCCAGCACCTGCTTTACCAAAGCCATCTTTACAAGTTGATTATTCATGTCACTGTTGACAAGGATGTAAAATACAATTTCCGTCAATACTCAGCTAGGTAAAATTAAGAAGTTATACATATGTATTGCTCATATGCATGTCATAAACTGGCAGTATGAAAATGATATGCTCTAAATTCAACTGCTATCAAAGAAAGCAGAAATTCGTTTCAATCCCGCAGTAGCTGGAATGCTGGGATATGTAAATATAATTTGTCTTCTGTTTTAAGGCACATATGAATTCATGCTGACTGCCAAGGTTTTTTTTGTTTCACACAGTTGTTGAGGGGGGTAGGAAGGAGAAACCAGTGGTATGGTAATTCAGGTAGGCTTTCAGAAAGCTTTGAAATTGCTTTTCTCTCTCCCAATTTGAATGACAGTGTGGTGGTGGGACAATTACGGATGAATAACAACAACACAAACGGATTCTCGACAAGACCGGGGAATTTCAGCCATCGGGAGATATCTGGGGATGAAAGTGAGACATTGAGCATGGTGATTTTGGAAATAATTACCAATCCCGGTGGCAACAATTATATTGGGGTTTAAAATCTGTGACAGGAGAGAGACTGTGATTCCCAGTAGTCAGAGTGAGAGATGGTGAAAATATCCTTCAGTTGAAAATGAATCATGTGTGATAGCTCTAACAAAAAGCTATAGACATCCCCCTGGGGAAACGTCCATCACCACCTCAAAATACACGAAAAGTTACACAGGATTATGAGGAAAAACAGTAATGCATTTCACACACACAGAGATAAACTCTAATCTAACAGTTTACACCAGCAAAATGGCATTAAAAATTGTGCTTTTAAGGATTATTTCTTACCATTCAGATCTGCAAGGCTTTACTTTGCTTTATTACTTCATATTCAGTTGAGTGGATAAACCCCTGGGCCAGAGACTAATGCAACTTAAAACAAACCCATTTCCCAACCACTTTACCCCGGCCATGAATAACATGACACAATGACCTTACAGTAGTAGTACATTGTGCCCCGTCCACAAGAGACGGCAAAGGCCAAACCGCAAGCTTTGTGTTCACCTCAGAATCCCCAGGACTGTTGCCCTTCTACTTTTTGAAAACAAAAAGCCCCGTGGCCCCGTTGGGTTAAGGGAACGGAGACCGCCAGGGTTTGGCTAATAGCTTCTAGCGGACACTTATGGACTGCCGAACAGACTGCGGTTGGCAGGGGGTGGAGGAGAAACAGTGGGGTAAGAATCCAAGAACAAGCTTCTAAATAAAACAAACCAAACACAGGAGATGCAAGGCAGGAAAAGAGATGGAAAGTAAAGCCTGAGCTAATCTTCTACCAAAACAGAAGATATCTCACCGAAATGTGACCTCGAGAAGACCAGGGGGACTTGGGACAGTCTAATAACGACCGAATGTGCATAAAGAAGTCAACAACATCTGGAAAAGCTGATTAATCTCTCGCCCTGAGCTTTCCGAGTCCTTTAGATCAACTAGTCGCCCATTATGAGGCGCTAGAAATGCTACTTGAAAAAAAAACCATGATGGGCGTTTGGGGGATTTTGACGACTCTAAGGAACTCTGTGGTCTCACACCCTGTCAGAGAAAATCAACCCCTCTGGGAAACAGTGCACTTTAAGGGCCTTCTGAGGCAGATAACACATGTCCAAGAGCATCTTTTATATAACAACACTCGGAAACTAACATTAAAATGTCTCTGGTACTGACAAGGCAGGAAAGAAGTGCTCAAATATGGAAGTGAAGAAGGCAGAACAAAGGTGATATAATTTTAATAACCTCGTCACAAATGGCTGCTTGGCTCCAGTGTGAATTGTGGGAAGTGCTTTGATTTCTGGTCGCCGAGTGAAATAAAACTGAGACAACCTTGCCTGCATTAATTATTACTGCTGTTCGCCACGGCAAGTCACTCTTTTTCAAGTATGTCTGTACTACAGACATGAATGGTACTTCAAACCATGTGGCTTGTTAAGGATTACATTTCTTAGTGACCACACTTATGATTTTCACATAGGAGATAAGAATATCCCTCCAAAAATACTCTTAAGTTACAGGAGGAACCTGAATCATATGTTGTGAATACTCATGGAGACTTTTAACTTTTAACCTAGGCCAGTAACTTACCACCTAGCAACCAAGCAACATACCAACAACCTAGAAACAGGGTTTTTGTTATTATGCCTTTTAGATTCCAATTCAGTTTCTGTATTTGAACTGAATTTCATTTTGAGGATGCAGAATTGCCTATTCAAATGTGAATAAAGTACAATTAAACAGATAGATTGATAGATGATAGATAGAATTCAATTCAAAGAATAAAAAGTGTGAATTTTGCACAATTCTACTCAGAGCACAAAAATCTTGGCTACATCAATTCTACGCTACATCAGTAGCACAACTTCAGTCCAGCTGTTAAGGATTACATCCGGTAAATGCTGCTGAAATTAGAGCATGTCCTATCTGGAAGAACCCATACAAGTGGCAATCTCACTGTGTGACACGCTAGTAATGGTTCCAGCAGTTAGATTGATTTGGGCATAAAGGGAGGTGCTGCAACTACAACTCATCTGCTCTTAAAGGTATCAAGCCCTTGTACTGTAATAGGGGTTTGACCTTGTTATGTGAAGGAAGGGGGGGGGAGATGAGCTGGCTCTGGGAGGAAATACATGCATCTGGCTAACTTCTGATCAATCCCAAGGCACTTTTAGCACTAAGAATATTTATCTCCAGTGTTGGGGAGAGGTAATAAGACCTCTAAACACAGCCCAGCTAAACAAAGACAGATGATGCAAGCCATGTTGCAGTAACAAGACATGCTCTGGGAAATATTCACAAGCTGATTCAAAACAGCATGTGTAAGCGACATACAGTGGGTACGGAAAGTATTCAGACCCCCTTCAATTTTTCACTCTTTGTTATATTGCAGCCATTTGCTAAAATCATTTAAGTTAATTTTTTTTCCTCATTAATGTACACACAGCACCCCATATTGACAGAAAAACACAGAATTGTTGACATTTTTGCAGATTTATTAAAAAAGAAAAACTGAAATATCACATG